GCATAGTCGGTCGTCCGACAGCAACGATCGTAACTGTCGCACAGTCTAAGATGCGTATCGATCGTCGAATACTCAGGCAAGTCCGACGATCGATACGCATCCAATGCTGTGCGACAGTTACGATCGTTGCTGTCGGACGACCGACTATGCATGCGCCCATAACAGAAGCAGCCCCCACCCGCTTACTGCCCTCACAGTCTTCACAATATGGAGTTAACTGCCATCGCAGCCCAGCTCTTGGAAGCCTACCGTAATTATCCAACCTGAGGCGGCGTCATAGTTGCTCAATCAATCAACTAATGGTTAGCCTTTCAAAGGCAATAGTTCTGATTATGCAAGATTTCTTCGACTTGAATTTTGTTAAATAATTTTTTTAGCCTACCGATTTGCTCGAACTTCTCAGTACAAACGAATTCGAGGAAATACTTGTGGATTCGAGTGATGATACTGAATTCACTCAGAAATTATGGGATGCTTTGACGAATTCGCCGATGAACTCTGCTCTGTATGACACAATTCTTCATTACCTCGCAACTGGTCAGTGGCGTTCTGCATTTCGTGGTCTTCATCTTCTTGTTTTGTTGCATTTCACGATTCCTCCTCCCAACACTTTGGCATGGGTCGCTAGGACAGAAAGCAACCTTTTCGCTTTTTTTAAAGCGAAATTTTTGATTGCGGAAACTCAGATCCTCCACTGTCACAAATGTCGTGTTTCCCACAGCGAAAAAGGTCGCTTCTTGTCCCGGCGACCCTCACCCAATAAATTTCCAGTTGATGGTGAATTGCATTCTACTCTATGCTGCGTCTCAGAGAAGGACTCTCGAAGTCAGTTCAGGTCGGGTTGAGCTGAGCCTTCATTCATGCTCATTTCATTGAAGGTATTTATGATGGTTGTTTTTCAGCAAAGTGCTTTCTGAAGCTCGAAGAGTTTTGGGCTCATCTTGATGTGGATAAGACGTTGGAGTTCCTTAAAGGAATCCAGTATTACAACACGGTGACTTCACGGATAGAGAAGAGCTTAGAAGGTTGGCTTAGCCTTTTTACGTTGTCATCCAATTTCCTGAGAGAAAATGCAAATGTAAATTTGTGTTTGTAGGTGTAGAAGATATTCCCACAAAGAAGCGAGTTGTTCTGCGAACCGTCCCATTGCTTGGAGATAACGCTATTTACGATCTAATGCGATCTATTTATTACAATTCTGAACAATCAGCTGAATTTGTTGATAAGTTGCACCCTAACTTTCTTCGATTCTACGGTGAGTTAAAAATTCCTGGAACTCTCAGGCAGTGCCTCTTCACCCAATTGATATGTTTATTTCAGAGTTACTGGATAAGGAAAGAACATCACCCTCGTGGGAATTGTTACCTTTTGTCCACCGGATGTTCCAATTGCGGACATAATTAATGAGAATTCTCCGCAGGCGAAGTTCGTTTCTTGAAAGTTTAGTTACAAGTAGTTGTTGACAGAGACTGTCCGATTTGTTCTTAAGAAAGTTCAAAGTAAATTTAAATTATGAAGACCTACCATCGATTTCGCATTCAAGTGAAACTTTGACCGGAAGGCTGCTGAAAGCAATCGATGACCGATCATTTGCAGGTAGGTCTTACCAATAAAATTTTTGAAGTTATGTCAGATGGCGTGAAGCGGTCCATAGGAAGGTTTTGGGGGATTTCATCGATTATGAAAGTCTTCTGGGCA